CAAAGAAAATGAAACTCTACACTTTTATAACACTAAATTCGACATACAAGCCATATACATAGCAATACCAAATCAAACTGTACCTGACGCACAATACATATTGCAAGTAGAGAACTTCACTATGAATGGAATGATTCGGGCTGCATAGAACATGGAGGTTTTATAATACTAGTAAACAAATGACTAAAAGACTGCGTCATTGATTTACATTTTAAAGAGATTTAAACCACCGCAATTTAAGTGACAAACAACGAATGCGACCTAATTCTTTTAGCGGTATACAGTCCTTCGTAGTTTACTTTAAGATCTGCTCAGTTTGTTAACTTTTTTAGAATCCCAGGCAACAGCTAGGGTTAAGCTAGACATACATTCTATGAAATTTGACTCTGCAAACTTAAAAGCAAGACAATATACTCCTCCATATTAAATAGAATTCATGATCTGTACATTAACCCACAAGTTGGTTGGGGTTATGTACAGATTATAAACCCTAATGGTTACCTTTCTATTAAGTTTCAGCCCCTTTACAGTGAAAATCTTTTAATACTATTTAATCAACAGTTTGTGCTTAAAGAAAATCAGGAACTATTTTTTTACAGAGTGTTTCGATGCTAATTAAGCTTTTGAAAGAGTATGGCAAGACTGGCTTATTCATAAAATCAAGCAATTATTACATTTTAACTAGTAGCATTCTTCAACCCTTTTAATATGTTTAATTCCTGAAAGTGTTAGTGATGTCATTTTTACTTTTGCATATAACACAAAAATTCTATGTCATCATAAAAATATTTAGTTAGCTTCAAGGCAAGCACAATGGCATATGAATATCGTCAAACAAAAATGTCACCATGTTACGTTCTTCTCTAAGAAAGATTTTTGATCGGTAATTATATTGAATGGAGTTCTAATACCCTAACCAGTTAAGATAACCTGTTTAGAGATTTATTCAAATAAAATAAAAGTTTAGCAAGAGGACATATAAACCACAAAATTCAAATCCGAATTGCATGTTATCAAAAAGGATCTTGCACAGGCCTCTCATCATTCAATCCGTGTTTTAAGCTATTTTATATAATATTAAGCTACCTTATTTTTAAGTGTACGAATAAGGCAATGCCTTAAACATTAAGATTTTGCAAACAACTTACTCTTAAAAGTATAATAAATAACTTCTATAAAATATTAAATGTAATTACAGTAGAAACCTAGTGCGTCAGAAATGAGAGGATCCGAAAAAATTACTTTAAGTGCAGAAATCAGAAATCGTTAAGACAAAAGTGCGCAGAAAAACTCTATGCCCATGTTGACCCATTGGTTAAAAAACTGGCTTTTTAAACAGGATACCCAGACTTAAGCTTAAACTAAGCTTACCTTATTATTTATTATCATTGTTGTATACTTCTTTTTCTCAATAAAAAAATTCAATATATCAAATAGAACTGAAGCTATCAACGAACTAAAGCATTCGTATATATATCTTGCATGAGATAATTATCGCGTTTAAGGAAAGGAAAAGATATATTGGGGTGATTTCAAAATCATAACCTAAGTCTCAGTATTGATTTAAGTAATCATTTTCGTTAGCGTAATGCATACATAAGTTTGTTTTGAAACTTCAGTTACCACTCTGAAGTCGGCCCTTAATGACCTACAATCTGTTGTATGGCATAAGCAATTTGCATGAATCATTTTTCGGATATTGAGTATTTTCTGACAGTGTCTTTAGATGAATTTTGTTTTTGACTTCAATTAACATATCTTGGTTAATATTCACTTTTCATTATTTCTGGATTCAGAACTGATTTCCAACATTTGTTGCATTTCATTAAGGAATGAGAGGTGGCTATATTATGATAATTGTTATGTCTTATATCATTTTCTTTTATTTTAATACTCCTAAATAAAAAATCACAAATTGAATAATTTTCACTCATACTTCTAGGAGGTTCCGTCAAAGCGGTATTAAGTGCACCTTACATGTTACCTTTGGGAGCATTAAACAAATTTTTAAACAATTTTGCAGCCAATTTTGTGCTCATAAATTTGTTTAGGTAATCTCATTAAAAATTGTTGAGGCAATAAAAAAGTATTTTGGCAGGCGCCATCTTATCCTCATCGCTACTTGCCATGACCCAAATATGTCAAATCAATTGGGTAACAGGCAAATCTTCCATTTCACGCTCGATGCGGTAATATTTTAGCCGCTTTTATTTCAGAAATTCCCATCAGATTTTTATATGCCAAGTTTTCATTATTATTTGTTTTTTGGTGTCCTCATATGAGCATATAAATTAACTAGAATTTGGCTTTTAGTTTAAAATTGTTGAGTTGATTTGTTATTGTTGCAATTTGTTTCTCTAATCAGTACTAATACACGCATTCGTGCTGAGCATATTTGCAAATAAGTGTGGATAACATAGGGCAGTAGTGGATTTAAGCAGGTCTTTTTAGACTTGGAAATAGATGTTTTTGTCTATCATCACAAATATTGTATTTAAATATGATTAGAATATGATTAGTTAAAAATAAACACGAAACAATATAAAGTAAATTTAAAGACTTATAATATAAGATAGGTAAATGCATACTTTGAAGAGTTAATTTTAAAGAGAATTAAAGCAAGTACCAACTACCATCTAATCTAGTTCGAATAAAAATATAACTCACTTCTGGCAAGTATAATTTTTCCTTAATAGCTTTTGTTGATAATAGAATTATATCACAACTTTATAGTTTTAGGTATAAAATATATTAGTAGTTACTTTTTTAGATTCGTCATGATATATTCAATACTTTGAAACTACATTCAAGACATATTGATATTGAAACTCCATTTGTGAACTTCAAATGGTACCACTCTAATCCATTTACCCTCTAATATTTACACGATTTTAAGCAAGTTATCTTATGCCCTTTTGTAAGTATAAGCACTCAATAAGCCCATTTTATTGTCCATTTGCACACAAATCCCCTCCTGTGCGAAATTTACGACTATTGCTGTGCAATTATATGTCACGCTATTTAGTCCTACATTTACATATTTGAACGCAATACGTTTGCGTGTGCATTGCAGTTGTTATAGTTAATTTCGCACAGTGGATCGTTTGTATCCTTGTAAATATACGAAAGGCAACATTCAATGCTAAATGCTGTGCTCATATATGCTCTGTCCATTCGTTCTTTCCATTGTTCAATTGTAGTTCTGTTAATCTGCTGGGAGCTTGTAAATTCATGGCAATTGCTATGATAAATGCTTGAGTTGATGTTGTTTTGCCGAATTAGCCTATTTATTGTTATTGCCATTGAACACTCATTGCTAAATGCTGAAATTCTGTACTGTACTGTAAAGTGCTCGGGAAGTATACGAGTCACTGTTATTGGTTTTACGATATTTAATACTTAAAGCTCAGTGCACAGTTATGGACGTTTAAATTCAAACAGGCTAAGGTTAAAAAAATTACTCAAAAATCGTGTTTTGAAATTAGTAGATTACAATCAAATTTTACAAATCAAGCTACTTGAGTGATAAAACATGAAAAAAGGCTTTATCATTCATCTAAATTGCAATGAGAGATTATGAGATTATGAGAGCTTAACTGAAGAAAGTTGACGCGATCACGAAAAAAGTGCACCGAAACTTTTAGCGCCATGAAAATGGAGCTGACAATTCTTAATAGAGATATTTATAAAACTAATACTTTTGAAAGAGTCACATTTCATCACTTGTTTTATAAGACTCAAGTCCATCACTATAAGTTAACGCAAAAGTTCAGGGAGTGATGTGAGCCCGGTTTTCCGTAACCAAAGCGAGGTTGTCTCTAAATTAGTAAAAATTAACAAAAAAAACTCAGATTATTACTAAGATCATATAGACCAGTTGGGCGCAAATCTTCATGAAGAAAAAGATGGTCTACAGAAAAAAAAATCGTGTTTCTTCAAAATATCATTTTTTTACAAACAAGTCAATAAACCATAGCAAAAAACAGGGAATTAAAGTATGATTTCTTGCAACACGTCAAAATTGAAGTGATAGTCGTTATTTTCCAGATATTCCACAAAACCACTGCAGCGATGAAATTCTAGAAATAAATACTACTATTGTCAACTTCTCCCAGTAGAGCATAGGGCCACAGTAATGCTTCTAAATCTGATTCAACTTTGCGTTTCTCTATAGATGTCGTTCCATATATAACGTGCTTCCGCTAGCTCACTTTTGACCGTTCTTCTACATGTTTTCGCTGGCATACCAGGTCTTCTACCCACATCTGCAATATATATTTAACTAGCAGCAATTTCGACTGTTATGCTCTACTAGAGAACTACGCATTTTTCGTCAGGAGAAGTAAGATTAAATCAATTTTTAATTATTAATTTTTTAAAAATTTTAATCCTCATTAAAATGAACCTTAATTGCCGCTCCATAGCCAATAACTTTAACGACTTTATATGACAATGTAATGAGAAATATTTTTTTCCATTGTCTGCTGTAAATACGAGCATTTTTCATATATAATCAACAAATTTGCATTGCAAGTGTGAGTTACTACGAATTCCTCTCAAACAATCGCAATATAATCAATACAATTTTAATAAAAAAAAATTTTATTAAAAAAAATAAATAAAATTAAAGTGAATGCATCATTAACTCGAGCGAAAAGATCAATTTAACAGTTAAAAATAATTGCATTAATTTCTGAGTAAATCCGCAATGAAACGAAAAAATGATAACATGAAAAGCAATTTTTAATTATGAAAATACATGCGACAGGCAGCAAAAAGTCTGGCAGCATTGCTTCAATAGCATAACAGAAGACATATCTTTTGTCTATTGTCATGTTGTGTAACTGTGATGTTAAGAAAATATTGTAAATTTAAATGAAGCGACAAATATAATTTGCAGCTCAATACTGCTATAAAATGAAAAAGTCAATAAATGTCTATTTAAATTCAATGGCTCAAGAATTAAAATGACTTAATACAAAAAATATTTATATTCAGATCTAATGTCGCATTTCAATAACTCTAAGAATAATGTTCACATTATTATATGTTAACTCAAAAATTTCTTTCAACGACCTAAACGTAGTTAGGTTATTAATTGTTATTACAACTACTTAAATCTATGGACGGTCAGCAGTATGTCTTAATCTATATTATAAATCACATTACATTCAATTCCAGATCCCCCTTTTCTGATATTGGTCTTGGACATTAATAACATAAACGAAAACATGGTTTGATCCTAGCTGTAAGGATTGGAAACAGTACTTTTGGCCACTCACAGAAATACATAAATAATACCAGAAAATAGCTAACATTGTTTACGAAACTGTCAGTGTCAACGCGGTGTTTCTGGGAAAGCTAAAATAAAAAGATTTGGGAGAATTTATACTCGTATGTGGGACTACTTGCTTGCTATAGATTCTAAGGAAACATCTTACCGTAACGGTGTAGATTGCTCAAAAACAAGTTCGTCATAACATAACTACATGCCACAACGATCGTATCAACATACCATCCAATCAACAATCCTGCATATATCCGAAAAGCCAATAAGAAGTTGCTTTCTACAGGGAGCTACATATGGTATTGTTAATTTTTGATTTCAAAATGAAAAGGAATTATATCCATGGCCTAAATTAATACTTAATATGACATTCATTGCAGATGTTAGCAGCAAAAAGTATGCTATGCCGCAACTTGAATGCTTTTGCGGTTATTCACTGCAGTTATCCACTGCCCGGGGAAAATAAACTACTATCGGTTTAGCGCTTAGACTTCTATTATATTACTTTTTCATTGGATTCATCGGACTCAAAAGTCTCAAGCTATATATAAGTATATATAAAAATTTATTAGTTTATTATTATATTAAATTCATGTGGAAGTAATAAAGAGTAGTGATAGTTTTTTTTTGTATAGGTATGAAAAAATATTGAAACTTTTATTACATAAAAAATACTGTG